AAGTGCTCGATTGAAAAAATCAACAAGCGCTTGATTTTTTCAAAAATTCAAAACACGCTTGATTCTTTGAAATATTTCAATATCCGATGCTCTGGGTCAGGTCGAGATCGGGCACCGTATGATTCAATCGTTGGTCGCCCACGACAACAAGGGCCGCTTCATCCTGGCCGGGCACATCGGGGATCTTCGTAACGACTGCGTTGATTGCGGGATCTGGCCTTTATGGATTAGTGCCAGCCATGGGCACAGCGCACGGATTCAGGACCAGGTCGATGACTCCAGCATTGCCACTGTGTGGCTTGACCCAAGGAGGCGTGCCATCGACAGAGTCCCAGCTGCCTGCAAAGGCAAGCCGTTCCTGTGCCGTGGTGATGAAGGCTTCCCGACGCGTCTGTGCCACAGGACAACTCACGACGCAGCCTTTCAGATACTTGAAGACGGCCTCATTCCAGGATTTCGTGGCTCGGGGAAGTACCATTGCTACTTCGCAAAAGCCACGTTATCCGAACTGGGGAACAGGGCTGGGGTACGTGCCAACTTGAACGTCGAACTCGTTTTCGATACGGTGGAAGTGTTGAAGCACGCCTATCTCTTCGAGACGGAGTCCGAGGGAATTTTGTGTCGCGAGAGAGACCCAGGCGAGTGCATCTTGTACGTGAGGGACTCAGACAGCAACATGACACTTTGGACACGGCCCTCACCAGGCGACGAGGATATCGAGGTGATTGTGGAGATTGCGGGGATTACAACTATCGAAGATGACGATGAGCCCGCGGATCTCTTCTCGTTTCCCGAGCCTGCTGAGCCCGCAGAGGAAGCAGCCATCCTCGCAGAGGTCGTCCAAGAGCCTGGGGCAGAGGCTACGACAATGGATGAGGAAATTCCAGCCCCACTTAGTGGAGGCCATGGAGATGACTATGCACCACCCGTGTATGGCAACACCTCGGACGCGCCAATGCCCGCAATCCTCGATGCGACGGCTGCCGATATCCTCCCTGAGGAGGCTGCCGTGTTGGAAGGGGATGACGGTGCCGGCGTGGGTGCGGTTGAGCCTGCGCAACCATCGGAGGAACCACCAACTGCCAACATCACCGAAACACACACCATCATGGCCATGATCGACGACGAGCCGGAGGTAGCGGCAGCAACAGAGGCACCTGAGGCACCGAAGGCAGAGCATGTTACCAAGCCTGCTAATAAGATGCCGACGGAGCCCCCGCATCGCATCCTGCCTCCTCCAGCCCCCTCAGCGGGTGGCCGTCGACGTGCCTGCCCCCATTGTGGCACAACACACTTGGTGGGACAAATGGTGTGTCTGCGATGCAAAGCTCAGCTAGCCAAGGCCACAGCGCAGAGCCAACGCAAGTGCATCAAAACCGATAGATGGTTCCAGGAGCAAGCAGCCGCCATCGCTACAGGCAAGGCACGTTCTCGCCTGTCCGTTGAAGAAGTCCTCGCCAACATTCGCAAGGAAGTGGGAGGACGCGGTGCTCAGAGCTTGGACTCGGTTGCCATCGAAAAGGCGAAGCAGATGCTGAAGCTCGCAAACAAGCAGGGCGAACCTTGGTCGCAATCAGGCCCAGAGGACCCTTGGCACCGGCGTCCACGGCTCAGGTAGCTGGGACCAACCGGAGTCCCCGGAAAGCGTCCCAAGGTTGCTCTTCTGCACGATTGCAATCCAGCCGCTCTTAGAGCAGGCCTGCTGGGCACAGAACAGAATGACCCGCTCGCAATCATGTGGTTGGGGGTGGCCTACAGCCTCTCGGGGTTCATCCAAGTGTTTCTGCAGCGCCGTGTCGTGGACAGGCTTCAGTGCTTCACAGAAACGCTCTACCTCGACCCCAGCTTGGACTACACCGCTGCAGAATGGGACCTATGGCTGAGGCAGAGATTGAACACGCAACTTCAACCAGCCATTCGAGCCCATGAAGAGCGACTTGCTGATGCTGAACGGTCTCGGGCAGCCCAACGTGCAGCTGATGAACGCCGTGCGACGAAGGGCGAGAGCAAGGGCGGGAAGAAAGGCTCAGCCAAGGGGCCTCATCCCTACTCTCGCGGAGGCTATGGCTACCACCGCTGAGCACAAAGTCA